ACGAACGGAATATATGCTCGTCGACGGTATTACCACTAAATTAAGTTAGATTCGAGCGCAGTTTCTTTAAATAAAAAACAATTTCTCTGGCACGTTCTCCTTACATTTTTAATGAATTAATCATAAATATGCCCTCTCGTAGAAAATTACAGAATCCTAGTCTGTATTTGAAATCCGATTTGTTGACGTAACACGGCGAGCCGTTACGTAAACGGATTGATTCCCTTCTCGCGCGGCACCTATGGAAAAATCATTCGCCCACTCCGATTATCATAATTAATTCGGTTTTAAATTTACGTCATTTGGCACGTTAAGGATTACTTAAGCTACAATAAATAACTAATTTGTCCTTGTTTAAGGTTTGTTAACCCCGATATAAATCGAACGGTTTCCCACGCTTATCTATTTTCATTAGCGAATTAGCTAATTCGTTTTAATTAAATAATAGATGAGGGCATTTATATACGAGTTACGTCGCGATCGTTATATCGAAGTTTCCGGTAACGTTCGGCAATTTCCAAAACGATAATTAATGTATTGTATTAATTACGCGCGCCTTGTTACGGGTGGTCGGGTTTGCAGAAATTTAATAAGTCCTAACGCCGTGTATAGCGCCCATTTACTTGTCAAAAACTTGTTTTTCCTCGGAGTTAAGCCTTGGGATTCGATATCGAAAACAGAAGTCTCATTTGAAATTCATAGAAGATTTTTTCGTCGACTTAAAAATCACGTCGCAGTTGGTTTAAAGAAAGAAAAATCGCCAAGGAAAAGGTTTCCGTTTTTTATCAGACGATGGCGTATAAATATTTAAAGTATATTAGGCTTCGACCTAGCCTCAGTTGATTGTATTTATTTATTTATCTGTTTAAATTTTATAATTATAAAGGCAAATGTTTATTGTGACGTGGCTGCAATTTTTATCGTATTTTAAATTTATTTACCTTAAAATATGCTCTCCACCTCAAATTAGTGGTGACTTGCCCCCCGTACGTTATACTTTTAACAATATAGTAGTGCCGGGCAGACGGACGGACGACAGTGGAAATTTATAGGTCTGCCTTTTTTTCAAATTGCATCCCAATTAGCGATCCCTCTCGAGATATTTTCGATTTTTTATACGTTTAGTTCGATTGTTAATTGTTTATCAAATCGCTGGTTTGTAGAATTATTCGGGTGATATCCTCGACTGTAGTTAGAATATTTATTCTAGTTCAGTTTTCCAACGAATTGCTCGCGGACCCGGGTCGGTAGGATTTCCCATTACACACGAAATAACGCTTCGGTCCGGTGTTCTTCAGTGGCGCGTTATAGATTGGTGGGGCTACGTATACAGTACATTTCTTCCAGGGAATTTTTAGGGAAATATTTTCTTTAAAAAGCTTAGTTTTGTGCCCCTGTTGGTGGAGGCTCCGGGAAATTGCCCTTTTTTCCCGTAGGATAACGCGTTATTAACGTTTTACACTACCCACACCTCTTAAAAAATAAATTCGATTTAAATAATATCTCGCACCTCTCTGGATCACGAGAAATCTTCCGGTTAAGAATCACTTCCCAATTATAATTAGAGAGGCTCCGTTTACGTTTTAAATCCAGTGGCTCGTTGGGCAAAAAAAGGGCAGTCGCTCGAAGTCCCCGCTAACAGAAGGTCCCAGACCAATCTTTAATCCCCGAAGAAAAACGTCCGAAATCAAAACCATACGTGGGACCCCCTACGCCTTTGGTGTGCGGATGACGTTAACGCCATCTCTTAGCGGGCGTCGGTATTAAGTGTGTCATATAGGCGATTATTTTAATTTTTATTAATTCTTAGGCGAATTTAAAATTCCATAAACGTAATAAAATTTGATAAGTTTATATCACAATTTCATTAAGCAATACAATAATTAGATCATAATGTTGGTATATATTAGCGTGTCGGAAAACATTAACCAATCGAGTTCAAAGTATTATAAATTTGAAATTAACCAATGGAATTAAATTATAACTGTCAAAAGCCAGCGCGGTTACATCAGAGCCGGCGACAGACTCCCGGCTGGAAGTATGGGTTCAATAATCTGTTTTACACCTTTTCAGATGAGTTGAGAGACTCATCCAGCCTCATTCTAAATGGGTATCTGGTCTCTCCAAGGAGATAAAACAAGTTGAAGTGTGTATTGACCATGTCACTTCTTTTTACTGCAGTCGACCGTGTACACCCCGTCCCATAATAACCTTAATCATCACGCGACCTTGCCTCCATAAATCAGAAACTGTAATCTTTGCCTAAATAGTTAATATTTATTCAAAATATAAATAAAAATCGCGTTTAATATTAAAAATCGATCGACGGAAACAACAAAAATATTTAAACTTTACAATCAAATCGATAAGAAATTATTAAATAATTTTTATAATAATAATAAAGTATAAAATCGAATTTGAATTTTAAAATAATCGAATTAAGAAAATGAATAGAATTAAAACGAGGAACAAACTTGTTTTGGATGACGAAAAAACTGCGGATGCTACCGAGGTCATAAACGTTTCAATTTATTTATTATTTACGTCTGCAGTGATTATTCAAATAACAACTGAGTAACCGAGAGGAAAATTTATATTATCGAATTAAATAACTACGTGTTTTCGTATCGTGTTCATACGGCAACAAGAAAACAATTGCCAGACTCGGAATTTTCAAATTTTATAATCGGAAAGGTTGTAAATTGTAAGAAAGGAAGACATAAATTTTAAAATCGATAAAAATTTACAGACCGTTTGTACTTTAGAAAAGGAAAAAAAATGTATAAAATGTATTTTTTTTCTTTCTTTTTTTTAAAGTGCAAACATTTGGTATATTTTAAGTTCAAATATTTTTTAAGCACAAAAGATCAGTAAATTTTTTTAAATGGTCCGATGTTTACAAGTATTTAAAGAGAAAAAAGTGGATAAAAGTATTGTCTTTCGAGTTCAAAAGGTCAGTTTTATTTAAACGCGTGCGTTAGCTATCACCGCCGGATTACCCACTAGGCCCACCGGGCAGACTCCTAGGGGGCCCCGAAATTGGAAAAAATACGGCATTTTTACCGTTGCAATCGTGTGTCATAATTTATAAATAATTCTGTAGATACTGTACAATTATACGCTATTAGTTTATGGCGTCATAAAATTATATAGAGGGGCTCCCATCTTCTGTGCCTAGGGGTCCCCGGAAGATTTTAATCCACCCCTCACTACAGTTCGCGAGCCGTGTATTTTAAAAGGGAGAAAACAGTAAAAACATGTGTTTTCTCCCATTTTTTAAGTGTTGCAAATCTTTAAAAAGACGAAAGTACAGTACATACATTTTTTCTTATAGATTTTTATCTCACGAATTTTTCGATTATATCTTTCTCGTTTGTATATTATTTTTTAAATTATGTGACGATATTAAAATTTTATACATCTTGTTTCCTTTCTTTTTATCTTACGGTTGACTAAAATCAATTTTAAAGTACGCGTCATATAATCATGGAGTAATAAAAATCTCCCCTTGGTGAAAATTAAAGGTCATAATATAAATTTATTGACGGAATCGAGAAAGTGAATAAACTTATTTTTAAAACAATTTACTTACTTGGCAACAAATATTTATAAATTTTGTTTGAGATCGTTCAAAATTCTCTTGTTTCTTCTCGTGATATAGCTTGAAATTAAACGATTTACGAAACAATTCGTTAGCCTTAAAAAAAAAATGGCGGATGTTCTGGAACGTTCGAGAAAGCAGACGAACTCGTATCGCGTGCGTGCGCATTAAACAAAAGCAGACGAACTTTCTCTCACGCGCGCGCGTTCTTTCGTTAGCAATTTATTATTTGTCCTAAAACACAAACTTTCTAAAATGAAATTTTAAAAATGTATTATTACGTAATATTATATTTGAAGTATTTATACAGTCTCGTTGTCGCGATTAATTTAAAAGAAAAAAATATATATATATTAAAAAAGAAACGATAATAGGAGGCGCGATGACGCGTAAAGCAAACTACTCTAGCGTTATTTTGTTATAAAAATAATTGTATTGATATTTATTCAACGTACAAATTTTTTCGAGTGTAAAAAATATTACCTATTTTTATATTTTTACAATAATACAATTATTGATACAATTAATTTATAAAAATAATTAAAAAAAGATTCTAATAATGATAATTGCGCGCGCGTCGAGTTTAAATAAAATAAATTTACTCTCGTGCAATTTCGTTTAAAATTTATTATTCTCGTTAATATTTATTTAAAACGAGAATTTTTTTAATGTAAAAATGCGTCATAAATCTAAATTTACGTAACTTTGTAGCGTATTTAAAAATTTTTATATTGTCTCGTCGACGCGACTAATTTAAAAATAGAAAAAAAAGCAAACAATAATATTAATCACCGCGCGTGAGATTACGTATAAAACAAAAATACTCTGGAGCAAACTCGTTTGAAACATTACTTTCATTGATATTTCTTTAACGTAAATTTATTTAATAAAATAATATATATTATGTATATAAAATAAATTTTTTGCATTAAAAAATTTTATACAACTCCAAAAACGCGAATAATTAAAAATAATAGTAAAAAAAACAGACGATAATATTAATAAAAGCGCGCGCGATGACGTGTAAAACAAAATACTGTACTCTCGTGCAAGTTTGTTTAAAATATTATTCGCCCTAATTATTCAATTTGTTTAATATAAAAATATATTAAGTGCATAAAATGAAAATATTTTATATTTAAAATATTTTTAACACTCAAAAACGCGAATAATTTAAAAAAAATAGTAAAAAAACAGACGATAATAACCATAACGCGCGCGCGTCGCGCGTTAAGCAGACGAACTTTAATCTCGTCCAAGCGACATTTTTTTCGAACCTTTATTTTTTTCTATTCCTTAAACTTTATTAATGTACGATACGAACGAAAGTAGGAGTTAAAAACGCGTAGGAATTGTAAATTCGATTAGAATCTATGTATTTTTACGAATAAAAAAACGTTTTTTTTGTATATTTTCAGGGAGTTAGAAGTGGGAATCGGATAGGGAATGTCTGGCACGGTTTGCCAGTCTAAGCCTAACGTTAGGGGAGGAGGAAAGAAAGTTCGGACATGGCCCTATCGTGGCCGCGGTTGGACGGACCTTATAAGGTTGGCTTGTACGAACAGTAGCGTCGATCGACCGCCTTCGTCTTTAGAAGCAGAGGAGTGCGCGGCAGCAATAAGGACGCCATCGGTGCGTCGCTACACCACACTCCGCCGGTGGTTATCGAATTGTACGGATGGTGAATGGATACGGGATTTCCTTCGTCACCATGGTCTAGCCATTCTACTCGATTCTTTGCGTTCTTTGTGTGCCTACACGGATTTCCACAACGCTCTTCTTCAAATTGAATGTGTCAATTGCGTCCGGGCGGTTATGGATTCGCGACTTGGTTTGGATTACATCGTCGAGAACGGCGAATACACGCAGAAACTGGCTACCGGTACGTATTACTTTCTAACTTTAATTCATTTTTTAACACCTTCCACACTTATCATCGATTTTCGATCGCATCTATCCTCCCGCTCCTCTTCTCTAATCGATACCGGATGCTTTAAACTTACGCTCTTCGCCTCGTTGCGAATTACGCGCCATTATTTTCGATTATTTACAATTTACGTAAACGAATATTTTTCCATTCCGTTCTATTTTTTCCCCCTTAAAAAATCGCCTTTGGTGTGCGGATGACGTTAACGCCATCTCTTAGCGGGCGTCGGTATTAAGTGTGTCATATAGGCGATTTTTTAAGGTTTTATATATATTTTGGCTTGGAAAAATATTTAGGAGGTGGCCACGATCGATGACGACGATTTTTCGATGAAGTTATTAACTTTAATTCTGATTTTTTCGTTAAAAAATACATTTATGCTTATCGGGAGTGTGACGGAATGCGCGGTATCGATGGAGTTCGATGCTGTATTACCGTTTCGTTACGAAAATTAAATGCATTTTTTTACATTGTTTAGATCGAATGTCGGTAATTTAAGGAAAAAAATTGCAAAATAACGCTTCTGCACCGAAAAAATGTGTGTTGGAGCGCGGAAGTCGTATTAATTCGCCTTCGATTATTGCCTATTACGGTATAATAAAGGTAAAAGCCAGTGTAAAGTAGATGATGGCAGAACGTGCCGGATAATAATTTAAATAGAGAATTTCTGTTTATATTAAAAAGAATAACATTACAGGGTAGAGAAAGTATTAATTTTCTCCATTAAATTTCGCCTTCTCTTATTTTGATTAAAAATAACTCGGCGTAAATTAATTTTTTCCCTTTTCCTTACGCTTCGGTTAACCGTCTTTTGTCGAGGTTTGTGTCTTTTCGGATGAGGTAATCCGCGCGATTCTTCGCCCCCCCCCCGACATTTCGCGGATTCGAATATGCCGGGCAGTCACGTGACTCCGCTGCCAATTTAAAATTTTTCTATCGAATTAACCGTAGATACGCTAAACACGTGACGTATACGCTTCCCGCTAATGGCTTTTAAATTGTGGTCACGTGGAAATTAATTGCAAATTCTCTCGTATTGTTTTTTTTCCACACAATGAATCGTAACTGCTAATTACGTGCCGGGTTATTTTTAAATTATTTCACACTCCACGATTATATTGTAGATTTTTGTATATTTATTATTTTAAATTCAAATATCGGCGTCGAAAATCGAATGTAAAAGATTAACGACGAACGAAATCGATCGATGTAACACGTAGATAATAGAAGTAACGGCTTAGAACTCGAAAATTTCCATTGAATTTTCGTTTGTGTAAGCCCGAAATATGATCGAATGAATAATTTCCGTCTTCGCAATTCTCTTTCCAAGTTTTGGAATTTAAATTCGAGTGCGTGACGAACGGAATATATGCTCGTCGACGGTATTACCACTAAATTAAGTTAGATTCGAGCGCAGTTTCTTTAAATAAAAAACAATTTCTCTGGCACGTTCTCCTTACATTTTTAATGAATTAATCATAAATATGCCCTCTCGTAGAAAATTACAGAATCCTAGTCTGTATTTGAAATCCGATTTGTTGACGTAACACGGCGAGCCGTTACGTAAACGGATTGATTCCCTTCTCGCGCGGCACCTATGGAAAAATCATTCGCCCACTCCGATTATCATAATTAATTCGGTTTTAAATTTACGTCATTTGGCACGTTAAGGATTACTTAAGCTACAATAAATAACTAATTTGTCCTTGTTTAAGGTTTGTTAACCCCGATATAAATCGAACGGTTTCCCACGCTTATCTATTTTCATTAGCGAATTAGCTAATTCGTTTTAATTAAATAATAGATGAGGGCATTTATATACGAGTTACGTCGCGATCGTTATATCGAAGTTTCCGGTAACGTTCGGCAATTTCCAAAACGATAATTAATGTATTGTATTAATTACGCGCGCCTTGTTACGGGTGGTCGGGTTTGCAGAAATTTAATAAGTCCTAACGCCGTGTATAGCGCCCATTTACTTGTCAAAAACTTGTTTTTCCTCGGAGTTAAGCCTTGGGATTCGATATCGAAAACAGAAGTCTCATTTGAAATTCATAGAAGATTTTTTCGTCGACTTAAAAATCACGTCGCAGTTGGTTTAAAGAAAGAAAAATCGCCAAGGAAAAGGTTTCCGTTTTTTATCAGACGATGGCGTATAAATATTTAAAGTATATTAGGCTTCGACCTAGCCTCAGTTGATTGTATTTATTTATTTATCTGTTTAAATTTTATAATTATAAAGGCAAATGTTTATTGTGACGTGGCTGCAATTTTTATCGTATTTTAAATTTATTTACCTTAAAATATGCTCTCCACCTCAAATTAGTGGTGACTTGCCCCCCGTACGTTATACTTTTAACAATATAGTAGTGCCGGGCAGACGGACGGACGACAGTGGAAATTTATAGGTCTGCCTTTTTTTCAAATTGCATCCCAATTAGCGATCCCTCTCGAGATATTTTCGATTTTTTATACGTTTAGTTCGATTGTTAATTGTTTATCAAATCGCTGGTTTGTAGAATTATTCGGGTGATATCCTCGACTGTAGTTAGAATATTTATTCTAGTTCAGTTTTCCAACGAATTGCTCGCGGACCCGGGTCGGTAGGATTTCCCATTACACACGAAATAACGCTTCGGTCCGGTGTTCTTCAGTGGCGCGTTATAGATTGGTGGGGCTACGTATACAGTACATTTCTTCCAGGGAATTTTTAGGGAAATATTTTCTTTAAAAAGCTTAGTTTTGTGCCCCTGTTGGTGGAGGCTCCGGGAAATTGCCCTTTTTTCCCGTAGGATAACGCGTTATTAACGTTTTACACTACCCACACCTCTTAAAAAATAAATTCGATTTAAATAATATCTCGCACCTCTCTGGATCACGAGAAATCTTCCGGTTAAGAATCACTTCCCAATTATAATTAGAGAGGCTCCGTTTACGTTTTAAATCCAGTGGCGCGTTGGGCAAAAAAAGGGCAGTCGCTCGAAGTCCCCGCTAACAGAAGGTCCCAGACCAATCTTTAATCCCCGAAGAAAAACGTCCGAAATCAAAACCATACGTGGGACCCCCTAATTCTAATTCGTCAGAACCCCACGAAGCTATAACTCGCTCCTGTTTTTAAATCTTATATAAATTTTTAAAAAAGACGAAGAAAATAAGAGGATATTTTAGTTTCGGCAAGCAAAACAGGGAAAGTTAAATCTGTATTAAAACCTGGAGGTAATATCACGAGCGACGTTAATAAATAACGTGATTATGACGACGTTAATACCCGCACCGAGGAAATTTTATTGTAGAATGTGCGAATGGCCAGACGTTGCACACTTTCCGTAAACACATGCCGAATGTTTAATAATTTAACCGAGAGATTATAAGAAGAGAAAATTGATGACGTCTGTAGCAAATGCGAAACGTGACCGCGGAGAGACAGGTGATTCTGTTTATCTTCCAGTAAATAAAATTATTTTTATTTTTTGACGAAACGAGGGAAGGCCACTCACGTGATCGACAAAGACTTTCCGGGGTGGAAATTTCGTTAAGTAATTAAACCGAAGTAAAATTCCGTCGTCTCGTCCATAACCCGGTTAAAGAACTAAGTGGCACTCGTGACCGAATGGCGAATGGGTAGACGTCACCGAAACGACGCGCGCGGAAATTTCGCGAGACCGAGTTTCTAAATCCGGATCCCGTTGGCCATTTATGGAAATGACGTCATTAGCAAGTTTATTCCTCCGGAAAAGTAATGGGGAGAGCATCAATCTCTATTCCGGACTTCCAATTTGTCATCATTAGGCATGCTCGGTTGCATTAGTTCATTAGTCGCTACACGCTCTTCTTGTCTGCACTCTCTGTCGTTACGCCGAGATATCGGCTACTTTCTCTGATTAATACCCATTTTGCCAATTAGAAGGGCGCGGTCATGTGACTAGATCCCACGAGAATTCGGCTACAAAAAAGAAAAGGAAAACAATCTCAGGAACCGCCTTTAAGGTTTACGGTCGTCTCGCGCCAAATCCACCGCGCCGTGATTCTAAGTTACGATTTAAACCGTAGAGAAATCGTATTAGGCGAATTAACGCCGAGAGGGGGGTCGTCGAAGTCACGTGGTAGCGCGGGGACGTTTAATCGACGCCATAGACAAACAATGTATTTGGCTTAGTAAATTTTAATTAATAATTAGCGTGACTAACGTCATTAGATTCGCGCGACGTCGATACTTCGCCGTATACGCGCGGAATTAAGTCTTACGGAGTGTCGAGAGACCGGGACGAATTCCGATCACGTGTCCAATTATAAATAATCGATTCACGAATTTTCTCTCTTCGGCTGTATTCACGATTACTTGTAAACCACGATTGAACTTTATCTCGTTGCCGCACCTGCGTGGCAATAGGTCGACTCTACCAAGGACTCAAAGCGATCACGAAGTGCCGCGGCGTGACCCGACACGCGTGACGACTCGTTGCCTCTTCCTCGCGGATGAAAGCGGGTGAACGTCCATCCCCGTCACGTGACCGGCCCGAGCAATTTTCCTTTCCGTCGTCGCGTGACGTAATGCCCGTTCCGGCGCGCTCCAACGCGTACGCCAGATTTATTTGGCTAAAATGGCGGATCTAGGCGACATTTTGGAAGAGGTTAGGCAAGAAAATGTCAGGCAAACGGAACGTTTTTTAATTACGTCACGTTTTACAGTTACGCGTTAAACTTCATTAAGTTCCAGCCGTAAATAAATCGCGTGATTGAAAACGTAACGTCTCGAATATCGCCAGAAAAAACCTGCAAATCCTAGAAGACGATTGGACGGGTTATACGACACACGAGAGGCATCGAAGCATTTTATTTAAAGGAAGTCGAATTCCTCGGATTCGGTTACGTAAGACGAAACACGCGAAGGGAGGATGCCGAATGACAGTTTTGCACCGCAGCGCCACGGCGATTTTTCCACGTTACGCTGGCGC